CTCTAAAGTATTTTCTCTTGTTACTTGTATTGTGGCCTGTTTTCTTTCAAGTCCTGCTGCCTGCTTTTATTCTATCTGCTTCTTTGAAACTGGTATATCCTATTTAAGGTTTTCAGCACCACAATAATGTGTTTATTTACTACCTTTTTATGCATGTCTGCCTACTGCTTCTGTATAGTTCAACACTTACTCTAGCATGCTAAAATTTCTTTCTGCCTGTTCTATTATGAATCTCAAACCCCTACCCCTATGTGTTCATGTTATGGTTTGTTTGAGGCATGCCAATACTGTAAATTATTGTCCATAACTCAAACTTGATCCCCCTGGGATCCTAGCCTCTAATAGTGTGTGTTTCTGGCAGGCTTATAGGTATGCCAGCATCCTCCATTGCTGGGCATCCCTAAAGCTTGCCCTTTCCTAAGCAATAGGCTCTTTACAATTTCTCTGTTCCCCTAAACCCCTTTTGTGCACCTGTTTGTATTTGTTTCTCTTTCATGTATTCCCCCGAACTCTGCTCTTCACTTGCACTCTCTTAGACTTTAAGTTCTGCCCCCCTATTGTGAGCCTCGCCTTAGGACCCATTGAGTTCCCTCTGAATTTGGACACTTGAGGGCTGGTACTTCCACATTGCACTTGCCCATATCCTGATAATGCATTTGGGTGTGAGCATTGCCCAGAGTCCCGTTGAGGCTCTTAGGGAACTTTGACACACTCAAATGGGAGAAAGGCTTTGGAACAATGGTCTCTTGAGTTGGTCTATCTCATAACTCATAGAGGAAGTCAAGAATCAAGCTTCATCTAGTTGTATTTTTTGTTTCTGATGTATTTTTTATTTATTCTGTGGTGTAATAGTTTGTAATAAACACTTGGGGATGGTTAGTGAAAAGGGGTGGGTAACTATGCATGCAAAGGGTAGAAATCATGACTATAGGATTACTCTATTCCTGCATATCTAACTTTCATATAGAAACAATGTCTATAGGTGTTCTGAATTCTGTATATTCAAAAATGCATATAGAAATCATGCCTATAGGTCCAATCTGAATTCTGCATACTCAACTTCATATAGAATCATGCCTATAGGATTGTCAATTCTGCCTATTCAATTACATCTAGATACCATGCTCATAGGTCTTAAACAAATTTTGCAAGCTAGATACCATGTTTCTAGGTTTAAAACCAGTCTTATGCATTTAGACACTATGTCTATAAGGCTTCTGCATTTTTTACACCATGTCTACAAGGTTTAAAATAATCAACGCATAGAAAGCATGCCTATGATCTGAATCGCCTCACTCTTTGTTAGACATTAAAACCAGTAGTAATGAATACTGTTAGGGTCGGAATCTGTAACCAACTTGTCTAAATCCTGTCTCTCTTTTAATAATCTGATTCTATCGCTTAGCAGTTTAATAAGTATGCATGCAAACAGTTTGCTTCGAACCTTCTTATTTCGTCTTCTGGATCCAGTAGATACCATGCATATAGGATCTTTGTCCAACACTTAGGAAATCCTTAGAGCAATAATTCAAAACCGTATATGCTTCTGTTAATTATTACAACTAGCAGGCACGCCTGGTTCGGACTTCTTATCTGAGTTATACAATAAACTAAAACTGCCTCAACAACCTCATCTCCCTCGTCTTTAATACTTTTAAATCAGACCTAAACAGTACATGCAAGACATGCTATTTTATGTGTTTTGTTTTGAGGAGGTATACATGAGCCTCTATTTGTTTATATGTTTCCCCAAACATGCATATGTGTTTTGTATGTCGCTTTAGAATTTTTACCTTTGAAACTCCAAATAAGCCCAACATCCCTCCCTTTTAAGATTAGTAGTCCTAAGTGCCTCCGGGACTGATAGGAATGGGACGGGTAATAGCGTGCAATAATTAATCGAGATCAATCCACGCTTTAATACCTTAACGGGGTAGAAAGGGTAGATATGAATATGATGACCACGCGATAATGTCACGTGTAGCCCCTCTTTGAGGAGTGATTACCGGACATTGTGTGGGGATTTTTCATAAACCTAAGACCCTTTTTCCTTTATTCTTTAGCATTTTTACTTCTTATTTTTTTTTTAAAATCAGCTTTTCTAATTGTTCTTTCAAAACTGATTTACTTTCAAATCCATTCTGTGTTGAAATCCCCTCTTATTTGAGCCTTATTTGCCTATGTGTTAATTGCACCCATATTCACAATAATTGTCTGGTCGGGAACCACACTAGTGGATTCTGAGGGGTGCCTAACAACTTCCCCTTGAAATAATTTCAAGGTCTTACCCTATCTCTGGTTACTCAAATCAAACCCTCTTGGTGTCGTAATGCACCCTAATCATTAGGTGGCGACTCTTCAAATCAAACCCAATTCCCAAAAGGAATGAGTTGTCCCTCCAAATGTCATGGAAAAAGGGGGCGGGACAAATATCACTCCTGATCGGAGACGGTGTCTGGGTTCACATTACAAGCACGACCCATATCTCTCAGCCAGCCTAAGTATTTCTTCTCTGACTTCACCTACCGATCATCCACCACGTATACACGGGCACCCAAATCCGTGATTGAGGTACGCAACTCAGCCACCTCCTGCTCCAAAGCGGTGAAACGGGACACCCGGGCAGCTCCAGAAGATGTTACAGTCACAGATGGTGCTGCAACTGCTGCACTTTGCTCATGGGCCTGTGGTTCGGCCCCCATGTCCTCCTGCCCAGCCTCCTCGTCCTCTGAGTCATCAGAGCCACTACTATCCTCCCCACCTGCTGCCGCCGACTCCTTACCCGTGGTTACCTTGTCCGCCCAGAATTTTTGGTATTTTGGCACCAGCCCATCCACCACCGGATTCTCCGGCACCTGAGCTTGCATGCAAAGGTTAGTGACCAAAGAAAGGAAAAAGAATCCATACCTTTTGACTGGACAGCGGATGAACATCTCCTCATGGATCACTTTGGCCATGTCAAAGTTGTGACCATTGATGAAGCACCAAATCAAGGCCACTCGGGGGCCATTCACTTCCGTAGTGTTGAGGGACAACATCAGACGATTGTTGATAATATACAACCAGCACTTCCCTTCAAAGGTTAGTGCCGAGGAGTAAAATTTATCACCATACTTTATCCAGATCACCTCCTTCCTGGGTACACAAATCGTTTCAAAGAACCTCTCCCACTATGTGTGTCCTTGGCCATACCCCTCATAATAGTAATCATAAGGGTCCACAGGAGGGGGCAGCTGGTAGGTCATCTGTATAGCCTCAACAGAGGCATTCACCGCCTTCCAGCGCCCCATGACTACGCCATTGTCATGCTCCTTCACATTGGCGTAAAACTCTCTAACAACCATTACATTGCCTCGCCCGGCTCGTTAATAAAAGTTTGCAACCCCCGCCTCACCAACTCAATGTACATGTGAGGGCAGTGTAGCTGGACCGATCCTATATCAATATCCCTCTCCGAAATCGACTTTTTAGAGGCCTTATCCGCAAAGCGATCCTGAGCCTTGGCGGAGACAAATCTATTGCTATCAAAGGGGCATGCAGGGGCTGCCCCACGTGTCCTGGACGAGCCAGCTTGGCTGCTAGAAGAGGCACCTGTGGCCCGGCGTTTCTGAGATGAAGTCATGGTACCTGAAAAACGGGAGCACATTAACACAGCCCAACACAAAATTGTGACGCAATGCGGTTACTCAGACTTCACATACATAAGTGGTCCCAACTACATAATTACGTTCACTGGGGCCTTTCCACAAACACCTTGTGGACATTAGGCACTCACAACCCATTTCAAGCATTTTATAACATCAACCCACCACAATATCTCCCAAAATCACAAACCAAGTGAAACAACACCCCACAAATCTCACCACCCACAAACACTAAAACATATTTTACCAATTCTACTACTCAAAAACAAAGAAAAACAACTACCTAAATGCACACTAAAAACAAACAAAATTCTAGAAAAAAAATAGAAAAAGAAAAGGGCAAAATAGAACAAGGGATTCATACATGTAGTGATAGAGGGTGGGGAGCAGAGAAGAAAGGTAGAGGGGAATGTGGCTTGAGACTTGGGGAAAATTGAAAATAAATTGGAAATTTGTTGAAGAGGGGAGTTGAAGAAGAAAAGAAAGCGTTGAGGAGAAGGGGTTGGGGAGGGTTTTCTGATTTTGTTTGATTTGGGCGGTGGGTTTGGTATTAAAGAGGGGGGGTTATTAGAAGNAACTTACGGATGTGGGCGGAACTAGCGCGGTCGTAGCATAGTGCGAGCGCGACCGCGCTAGCCCAGGCAGAACACAATGCAATATGCGCGGCCACTAGCGCGATCATGCTAGTAGTGCGGCCAGTAGCACGTTCAATAGCATGGGCGCGCTAATGTTTTTGAGCCCAGGCAGAATACTTGCCCATATGCGCGGCCTGTAGCGCATGCGTGCTCCTAGGCGAAATTTCTTTCATGTTTTTCACCTGTTCTTACCACTTCTGATGGCCTTATCACCCGCCCATAATCACCTACATTGGTTAACACTCATAATTAACAATTACTACTATCGTTGGGTTGCCTCCCAACCAGTGCCTTAGTTAATGTCGTGGCACGACGATTACAACAATTCAATGGGTTTCTCCCATGCAGCGCCTGATTTAGCGTCGTGGCACGACGCAGACAAGCACATTTAAGGCTCGCTCGACCTCTGAGGTTCCGTCAGGTGGGTATCTGACACTTCCTTTTGTTCTTTTATGCCTATGTATAGCTTCAATCTCTGCCCATTGACTCTAAACGTGTGAGAGTCTTTCTCTGAGGCAATCTCTACAGCCCCTGATGGGAATACTTCAACTACTCGAAATGGACCAAACCATCGTGACTTAAGCTTACCAGGGAACAACCGTAATCTTAAGTTATAGAGCAATACCATGTCCCCGGGTTTGAAATCTCGCTCAACAATGTTCTGGTCGTGCAACTTCTTCATTCTTTCCTTTTACAACCTTGTGCTCTCAAAAGCAAGATGTCAGAACTCGTCAAGCTCATACAATTCAGTGATTCTCGTTGTGCCCGCAACCTCAATGTCTAGGTTCAGCTGCTTCAGTGCCCACCAAGCTTTATGTTCAAGTTCCACTGGTAAGTGGCAGGCCTTCTCGAACACCAATTTATATGGTGACATACCAATTGGTGTTTTAAAAGCAGTTCTATAAGCCCAGAGTGCATCATCTAACTTTTTCTCCCAATCAGTTATTGTGGCGTTCACTGTCTTGGTCAATACACTCTTTATCTCTCTATTAGACACTTCTACATGTCCACTTGTCTGCGGATGATATGGTGTTGCCACCTTGTGACGCACATCATACTTCGCTAGCAACTTCTCAAAATCTCGATTATAGAAGTGTGTTCCTCTGTCACTGATAATAGCTCTCGGTGTCCCAAAACAGGTGAATATGTTCTTCTTCAAAAAAACCACCACTACTCTTGCATCATTCGTGGGAAATGTTGCAGCTTCTACCCATTTGGACACATAATCTATAGGAATAAGTATGTACTTATTGCCAAAGGAGCTGACGAAGGGTCCCATGAAGTCAATCCCCCAAACATCAAACACTTCCACCTCTTGAATCGGGTTCATGGGCATCTCATGGCGACGGAAAATGTTCCCGGTTCACTGACATTCATTGCAGCCCTTCACCCATTGGTGCGCATCTTTGAACACTGTTGGCCAAAAGAAACCGGCCTCTAGCACTTTCGCCGCTATCCTAACTCCTCCAAAATGCCCTTCATATGCCGATGCATGACATACCTACAAAACAAAAGATTGTTCTATCTCAAGGACGCACCTCCGGATCATATTGTCAACACATATTCGAAACAAGTAAGGCTCATCCTAATAATACATGTGGCAGTCACGATAAAACTTTTTCTTTTGTACAGAGGAAAGGTCATAAGGAACTATACTACTGGCCAGGTAATTTGTAAAGTTTGCATACCATGGCACTTCCTCAAGACTAGTAGCGAGCAGCTGCTCGTCTGGAAAGGTTTCCAGAATTCCTCAACCTCAACTAAGTTTTCAGCTCCCTCAAGTCGTGATAGATGGTCAGCGACTTGGTTTTCTATGCCCTTATGGTCACGAATTTCGAGGTCAAATTCTTGCAGTAGTAATATCTAATGAATCAGGCGCAGCTTAGATTCCTTCTTCTCAATCAAGTACTTGAGAGCTGCATGATCAGTGCATACAATTTGTCGAAAGCAAACACCACCGCCAACATCTCCTTCTTCGTCACAGTGTAGTTCAACTGGGCTCCACTCAGCGTTCTACCAGTATAGTAGATTAGATGTATTAGCTTGTCTTTGCACTGTCCCAACACTGCCCCCACTGCGTAGTCACTAGAGTCACACATGAGTTCGAACGGTTGCTCCCAGTCGGGGTCAACAATGATGGGTGCAGTGACTAGCTTCTTTTTCAGCTCCTCGAATGCTACCCTGCAATCATTAGAAAACAAGAAAGGATGATCTTTTTCTAACAACTTACAAAGAGGGTTGGCAATTTTTGAGAAGTCTCTTATGAATTGCCGGTAGAAACCGGCATGCCCGAGGAAGCTCCTGATTGTTTTGACTAAAGTTGGAGGGGGCAGCTTTGCTATCACATCCACTTTAGCATGATCCACCTCAATTCCTTGCTTGACACCCGGTGCCCCAAGACTATGCCCTCTTGTAGCATGAAATGGCACTTCTCCCAATTAAGAACCAGGTTAGTCTCAATACACCATTTCAGCACACGCGTTAGATTTATTAGGCACTCATCGAATGAATTTCCCACCACTGAGAAATCATCCATGAATACCTCCATTATGTCCTCTACCATGTCAGTGAATATGGCCATCATGCACCTTTGGAATGTGGCGGGTGCATTGCATAGGCCAAATGGCATCCTCCGAAAGGCATAAATGCCATATGGGCAAGTGAAAGAGGTATTTTCTCTATCCTTAGGTGCAATGGAGATCTGATTGTAACCCGAGTACCCATCCAGAAAACAGAAGTGTGACCTCCCTGCTAGTCTGTCTAACATCTGATCAATGAAGGAAAGTGGGAAGTGGTCCTTCCGGGTGTCCAGATTTAACTTTCTGTAGTCCATGCAAATTCTCTAGCCCGTGATGGTTCTCGTCGAGATCGGCTCATTGTTATCATTTTTTACTACCGTCATGCCACCCTTTTTAGGCACACATTGAACCGGGCTAACCCAACTGCTGTCAGAGATTGGGAAAATGATTCCCGCATCTAACCACTTTATTACTTCTTTCTTCACCACTTCCTTCATTTTGGGGTTTAGCCTTCTTTGATGTTACTTGGAAGGTTTGTGGCCCTCTTCCAGCAGAATTTTATGCATACAGTAGGCGGGGTTGATCCCCTTTATGTCTGCCATGGTCCACCCAATGGCAGTCTTACACTCCTTGAGTACCTTCAAGAGTTGTTGTGCCTGCACATCTAACAAACTAGATGAGATAATAATAGGTAATGTGGAGTCAGGTCCAAGGAACTCATACCTGAGATGGGCGGGCAGTGGCTTCAACTCCAGCTTTAGGGGTTCTTTGATGGATGGCTTGGCTGGAGGAGTTTCTCTATTTTCTAAGTGCAAGGGCTCAAATTCAAGAGTTCTGTCCCAGAACTCTCTGCCCTCTAGTGCCAACACCCATTCTGTCAGTTCTTCTCCATTCACCTCATCTAAATTCATCAGACGTGCAGCAAGAGGGTCCTCAATAGTCAGCATCTCATCATCAATTTCGACAATCAAATCCACAACATCAATAAGAGAGCAATTGGTGAATTCACTTGGTCGCCTTATAGATTTCTGCACATTGAATGTTATCACTTCGTCGTTCAATCTCATTTTGAGCTCCCCAGTCTCACAATCAATGAGAGCTCTCCCAGTGGCCAAGAACGGTCTTCCCAAAATTATGGGAATTTCTTCAACCACCTTGTAGTCTAAGATCACAAAATCTGTAGGGAACACAAATTTCCCCACCTGAATCAACACTTCATCTAGGATACCAGAGGGTCTTTTTGTAGTCCTGTCAGCCAGCTGCAACAACATAGAGGTGTGTCTAGCTCTTCCAATCCCCAACCTCTTATAAATTGCCAGAGGCATAAGATTAGTGCTAGACCCTAGATCACAAAGTGCCTTAGCAAAAGCAAAATTACCAATAGTGCAGGGAATTGTAAAGCTCCCTGGGTCAGATAGCTTCTCCGCAATTGGTCTAGTCACCACTACACTACAGGTCTGAGTTAGAGTCACCGTGGCCAGGTCTTGGAAATCAAATTTCTGGACATTAAGTCCTTCATCATTTTTGCATACTCAGGCATCTCTTTCAAAGCATCTATCAATGGAATGTTTTCCTAGATTTGTTTCAGCATCTCCAAGAATTACTTGTATTGCTCCTCTTTTTGTACTTAGCCAGCCTCTAAGGGAATGGTGTGGGAGGTCTCTTCTTCCCAATGATTTGGGACTGCTCTTTATCAGCTGTCACCTCAACTACTTGTTCCTGGGCTGTCTCAGCTTCTTTCTCAGTCTCAATCTGAATGTTATATTCTTCCTGGGCAGGCTGGACTGTCACCTCTGTCCGTTTTGTTGACTCATCTAGCTCAATGGGCACTGGTATGAGTGTCTCAGCCTATCTTCTTCCTAGAGCCCTCTCTTGATCCACGTCTAAATCTCTGCCATTTCGTAGACTCACTGCCATCAGCTGTTTCGGGCCTTGGTCTTTTGGGTTTATTTGAGTGTATGTAGGTAATGTCCCATGAGGACGATTGTTTAGAGACATCGAAATTTGGCCCAGTTGCACTTCAATATTCTTAATAGCTTAATCATGTGCATCTACTCTTTCACTAATTTTTGCATTAGATCCAATAACCTGTTGCATCATTGCCTCAAGTCGAGCAAACCCATCTTCTTGCCATCCACCATGTTGCTGCTGAGGGGGGTGATACCCCTGCTACTGATTTTGATTGTTATATCCTTGTGGTCTTGGGTAAGGTGCCATATTGTTAGGAGGTCTCAAACCTCCCATATTCCCATTGTTGAACTGTGGCTGGCCTGGCCTGTACGGCTAATTTTGTTGGCCCCAATTCTAACCAACCTATCTCTGGCCTCCATAATTAGACACATAGTTTATGTCTTCAGGGTAGTGCTGATGATCATGTTCTGTATTCCACTGGTTACCAATTAGCTGACTAATGCAACATGTGCACGAGCCCCCATTAGTAGTATCTACGATGTGTACCTGCTGCTTCTGCTCTAACTCTTCCACCTTTTTGGTGAGTATATTCATCTGTGTCAATAAGGTGGCCATATTTTCAGCCATAGAGTTGGATGGATCTAAGGGCACTAAGTGAACCACTGGAGTGATAGGTGCATTCCTGGTTGTCCATCCTGAATTTTTTGCCATCTTGTCAAGCAGACTCTGGCCTTCTCTCCATGTTTTGCTCAAAAATGCTCCACCAGCTGAAGCATCAACAATGTTCTTCACGCTATCTGACAATCCCATGTAAAACCGCTGCCCCAACATCAGATCTGGAATACCATGGTGCGGACATATAACTAGCATCCCTTTGAAACGTTCCCGTGTTTCATGTAGTATCTCCATTGGTCTCTGTTTAAAACTCAAAATTTCATCAATTTGTTGAGCAGTCTTGTTGGGTGGGTGGAACTTGTTATGGAATTGCTTGACTAACTCCTCCCAAGTTGTTGTGGAATTTACGGGGAGTGAGTTTAGCCAGGTCTGGGCAGCTCCTATCACTAAGAATGGAAACAATAAAAGCTTGATTGCTTCCGGAGTTACGTTAGGCTGCCTTTGGGTTTTGCAGATTTACAGGAAATTCTTCAAGTACTGTTGAGGATCTTCGACTTGTGACCTCGAAAATAGTCCCTTGTTTTGCAACAAGTGCAACATGTTATTCATGATTTGGAATGATTCAGCCTATATCTGTGGGACTACAATCGTTGTGGCCAGATTTTCAGCTGTGGGCTATGCCCAGTCATAGAGAGCAGCCTCTTGCACAAGAGGTGCCACAGGTGCTATTGGCACTGCTAGGTCTACCATATTGTCCCCCATGTCTGGTTCGATTTGTTCAGTTGTTTGTTGTTGTTTGCTCTGGTTGGCCCGATTCAAGGCCTTGAAAACTTTATCAGGATCTGATAATGCTTCAAATACTTCACCAGTTCTTGATGAGTTTCTAGGCATGCACCTGTACAACCAAGTCAACAAACGTTCAAATTTCAATGTAAAGATTGGGTATAGAGAAAACTGACTACACTAAGAATTTTTGTACTTCTTTCAATTGTAATTGATAACACCGTTAATTCCCTAGCAACGGTGCCAAAATTTGATCATGTCCAACTATGCCGTATAAAAAAGGACACGCAGATATTGCAATTATAATCTGAGTATTTAGCCTAGAGTCGACCCCACAAGGAATTAACCTATCAATTACTCTCGTTAGACTTACTAAATTACACGGAATCAACTTCCCAAACATTGTAAATAACAATTGAGGGTATTTCTACTAACTACAAATGAATGTAAATAAGCAACTGAAAATTAACTAAGACCGAGTTGTAAACAATTAAGAGAAGGTTCTAAGGTTATGATTTCCCCTATTGATGGAATCCCTTTCTGTTATGTTTCACATAGATTCGCCTAATCGTATCTATCAATCATGAGCACTCTTATTACCTTACATCTCTCCCGAGTAATCACAATAATTTACTAGACGCACTCTCCCGAGATACGCTAGCTAGCTTTGGTTATTACAACTCACTTTAGATTGCACCCAAGGCTTCGTTATCCCTAATCTCGCCTTTAAACCCTCAGTTATTGATCCCTCATATACTTTGGGAGTGGTGTTGTTCAATAATTACCTAAATATGCACTCTCTCCCGAGTTATGCATATTGAATAGGCAGAGCTAATTGAGGATCCTATAACTACAACAAGAACGTTGTTAAACAAATAGAGATTAAACCAGGCAAACTATATTAACATAATAAGAAGTTCATCCTTCAATAGGTTCCATCAAAACCTTAGACCAAATATTTAGCTACTCATACTAGGGTTCATCATAACAATATTCAAATTCATCACAAATCGTAAAAACAAAAGGAAGAAAAGAAGAACTCGATGTTGAATTATCCTCCTTGCATCTTGCCTCCCCTTTTCTTGAACTAAGCTATGAAAACCTTGATAATACTCTCTTGGGCGAGCTAGACCTTCTGTATGTTAAGTGGATTTACCCCCGAACTTCCAATTTTACCCCTGAAATTTACTTTTCCGGAACTGGGCTAGCGCGGTCGTGTAAATGGACGCGCTAGTGACCGCGCATATGCCCTATCATCCTGCCTCGACCAT